GACCATGATGTTCTGGAAAGACGTGACTCATGCTAGGTGCGAAGGAGTGATATGTTGGTATGTACAGACTACCAATAAAGTAACAAAGACGCAGAGAGAACAATAACACACTAAATGAATGAATGCGCGCGAGTATGCGAAACAAATACATCTTGCCCCACGAAGCATGGAACTATTTAGTGACCAATTGGAGGAAAGACGCGCTGACAGTCCACGGCAACGAGTGTTTCCACATTGCTCAAGTTCAGCTCATCTCCTGGGTGAGAAAGTGTGCGGCCATGTTTGACGAGGTCCTCGCATGGCGTCTGGCGACCATCATTGTCGATAAGAATGCATGTCGCAGTACACGCAACGAACGCAGTTTCCAGCTCGAGTCCAATTATGGAGAAGTTTGGATTCTGGGAGGCTACAGCGCGGTAAGCATCTGTCGTATCTCTGCCAGAGAAAGTAAAAACTGCGCTGTGGTACTTACCAATCACCTCGTTGACATTGATATTGTTCTCACCAATGGCCACTGAGAAGGCCACGTCGCGGTGAAGTTGATCTTTAGCAACGAGACAGGCTCGGCCAGGATCAGTGTTTCCGCATTTGTCGGGGGAGGCAGAGACGAGAGGTGCAGCGTTGGTAGCGACAGAGAAGGCGAGGACGGAGATGAGTTGGAAGTGCATTTTGGCGCGTGGTAGATTGGGAATCTAGAAAGGGAAGAAGAAAGCTTTAAAAAAAACGGGAAGAAATTGTAGAAGTATTGTAATGCAGTGTGGAGTAGTAGATACGTCTTTGGAGATGGAGGGTGAAGTCCTTATATAGCTAAAGTGTTGCTGGATACTCTATTCGGGAAACTTCCATTGCGAAAGACTTCATCAGCATATCTGCTGCGCCTTGTTTTCCACTCCACAGTAACTATTCCCTACATATCTTTTAATAATTTGGTAGATCTATGTTTTATCTACATAGTTTCAGCTTGATCGACTTTGTTATCATGTCGAGGTCTAAATCTGCCAACTGTTTGTCACCCATTACTTGTAGTTTCGACGACTATAGACTGGAAGAAAACACATACATTGGTGTCTAAGAGATGGATATGTAGCTATTATAGGACCAGGACAACCAAGTATGACTTCAGTGAACATCGTATCACACGTTGCGCTCGTTGGAGACGACAAAGTTCAATGCAAATTACTGCACCCTGGGTGAAGCAAATCTGGGTTTCAACTTCCCTGGCACTTTCGCTAAACGGGTCGGAAAATTTCCAGTGGCCTTCATAAGCGCTAATGACATGAGACTTTAGGTTGGGGTTGCTGATGTCAAGCTGACAGCCAGCAAGATCAGCAAGCTTTTTTCCTGATGCTTAACTCGATTTAAGCTTACCGAACAGGATTGCAGTAATTTAACAACGGACGATAACTAACAGTAGCCAGCTGCTCGTCTCACGTAGCTATCACGAGGCACCAGCATACCTTGTACCTTCAGACATACTAAGATATTTTTGATAAATGTGTATCTCTATTTTAGTACCAAAGTCCAGGATTGGAACACAGAAAATATGTTCCTTCAATAGCATAGACTAACACACTTCCCCATCCACTCATCGCCATCTCCTTTTAGAACATTCTCATAAGCCCACAGCCCCAGATCCTTTCTTCCAATCGACCAGCCAACCACAGGCCCAGGTTCTTTTTCCCTCTCGGACCTCATCTCACTCTTCGTACCCCATAGCCATCCGACTCTCACACTATGATGTCCGCGTTCAGGACTGTTTGTCAGAATTGCCGGACGAACTACAAAACTAATGTTAGCATCGACATGGGGTGAAGAGAGGGTAAATCCAACGTACGAATAACAAATGCTCTCAAATACTCCCCTACACCCTTGTGTACAACATCCTCCATCTTCATCTTTTCGTTATGCGGCGCGCCCAGTAGCCACTTATATAGTGGCGCGAAGATCCACGGCCATGGTACGCTGCCCCACACGTCTTTTGACGCAGTCCCCGAGACGATCACGATGAGTGGTTTAGTGCCGTTCATGGTTGATGTGATACAATTGCGAATAGCTAGAAAATCGATGGCGGCGAACACAGCGCGCATGGAGTCCTCTGTGATTGAAGCGGAGTGGGCTGGTAGGGGCAGCGGGTTGCGCAGTGAGAGCTGAAATACAGGATTCACCCCGAGGGAAGTCCATATTGTGGAGACGAGGTGAGTTGGGGAAATTGGGGAGACGAGTGCTTCGCAGACCTATGGATAATATCAACGAGTGGAGAGAGGCGAACAAGGATTCAGAAGCATACGTCTTGGTAGTTTCTTGCGTCGCCTTGGTGTATGTCCAAGCTTTTATCGATAATTTCTGCGGACACAGAGTGCTCTATGAGAAGCATCTCGCGCAGCCTGGATGGATTTCGCACAACTGGACTGGTCAACTAAAGTAAGAAAGGAAACAGTGTGGTATAAGACCGTACGAGCAGTGCAACGATGCCCATCCCTTAGAGCGTGAGCGAGAGCAGTGCTTCCGCTTCCTCCAGTGGCGCCAAAGAAGGCTATAGTTGGCTTGCTCGAAGACATTCTGTGATATTTGTATTGACATGCACTGGTTCCATGGTGGTCTTATATATGTTTTCTACGGCCGCCTTATGGCACTTGAAAGCTTACTCTGCCTCTGACCATGATATGTAGCATATTATTTCGCCCTGCATCAGTTTAATTCTTTGCTGTAGAGCGGCCTGGGTGGAGTTATGAACATTGTCCCATGTCGGATCGAAGATGCCCCGCACGGCACCATTTTCGTCCGCTCGTCAGCACTCGCGTCAGAAAGTCCCCACGACATACAAGAACCTCTCACCACACGAAATCAGGCCAGGACTGACTTCGTCGTTGGCAGTGCTTCTACGTGTACGACGTCGCCCTCTCGAAACTCATCACCTACTAGACTAACTGAGGAACTGATACTTCCGGATGATCTCGTTGTCGTCGGCTTTGCGGACCACCAGTACAAATGCGCATTCCGAAAAGTCATATTTGCCGGACCAGAGGGCTTATTGCACTTCATCCCAGTGACATTCCTCGGTTATCATAAACTTTCCCTCTTCCTCGTCGTCACTATTCTCAATACTTACAAGATTCAGGCGGAGGCTTAGTATCTGGGCGCGCAGCGCCTCAAGTTTGAACATGTGGCGTATGTCGTCTCGAACCTCTTCGCGGCTGGCCTGAGGTTCAATCTTGATGGTGCCCTTCATCTGGGAAAATAGGTCGCGACCTAGATCTTCCTCCAAGCGGTACTGGTAGCACCCTACCCTCTCTTCGAGTTTGGATCGTAGATCCTGTCGTACTGGTATTCGCAAAGGAGGTTGTTCAGGCTTCTTCGGCTCCAATGGTACTGGGCGGACATCTGTGACGACATTCAGATCAGCACGGATGGCGGATTTGGGCCACAATATCGCGGTACGTAGGCTGTCGTGACCAACGATTCCTTATGCCAGAGTTGGATATCCCAAGGCGACGCCAACTTGTAGCTGATGTACTTGAACAACGAGAACACCCACGCATACGGCTCGATTTCGCATTCGTCTAGATTGGGGAAATGACCAAGCTTAGGCAATGGCACTTGACGTGTGGCGACAATTTAAGGTCCGTCTTTTCCGGTCGCTTCGTGGATAGGTTTACGAGCTGCATCAATTTCCTCCTGACTGAATGTGACGTACTCAGCATTGACAGCCAGGTGGGCCTGAATTGCGTGTTTTGAGTGGGCAACGACGAGGGCTGGGCGGTTGTAGTTATAGCCCGCATACTCGCGTGGGTGTTCTTTCTTAGGATCGGCGTCAGAATCGAGGTTTGACGAACTTGTCCTTGAGCAGTTTAATGACCTTATAAAGGACCATTGTCTTTCTGTTCACACTGAGTTTGGCGAATCTTTTCACCGGCAGAGGTCAGATTGCGAAAACTCTTACGTCCACGCTAGACTTGAACCCTATGTAGGCAGCCATCGTGCCTTCTGTCTCCCACACTTTCTTCCTGGACGACTTCGGTTCATTGGGATATCCCAGTTTCATGGTTTTGCTATCTTCTTTTCGAGCTTCCATACCCTGGACCTTTTCTGGCTTCGCCTGATTGAGAGCAGCTAAAGGCATCGAACCACTTTATGATGGGTTTTTTCTTGAAGCATTCGTTGTTGCCAAAGTTGCAGCACTGCAGTCTGCAGGGTTCCGGGGTGGAGGCTGCACGAATAAAGACACTATCATTATAGGTGAGACTGAAAACGTCGATGCGGCTGTGGTTGCACTGCCGACAAAAGAGGCAGTCACCAGGTCCTGCGGCGTATCATCACCTGTGATAGCTACGCATTTAGGTCAACCGTCGCCCATATATAGCAAAATGCGCGTTTTAGATACATGGCTAGGGATACTGACCCGTGCTCGGATCACCGGAAGTTTCGCTCATCTTTCTAGGTGTGCTACTGTTCGTCATAATTGTTTTTGCTAAGATGTGTTATTCGCTAATGTTATCTCGCAAGCTCAATATGGGAAGGATTACTTACCGGCTCCTATCGCGATGATTAGATCACCGTGACCGCTCTTGACACGTGAGAGCGCCTGTAGTATGCCACTGTGGACAGCTGTATAGAGTGCTCGGGGTTACTTACACACTGTAGATAAGCTCGGCAAAAAGTAGCTTGGGTGGCGATGTGAGTAATCAGAGATGCGCAAAGAGGCGCCGGTGAAGTCCAAGCGATTACCTTGTTCCAATCGGCCCACCGACTCTTCTCTCACACTTGTTTGCATGCCTTTGCTACGCAAGCACAAAACACATCAGGGCACATCACACCGTGTCGTTGTGTAGCTCTCGCCGCTCCACTTAGGCCCGCCCGCTCGCTTCGTCGGTGGATCCACATTTCACACAACATCGGAACTCAATACCAGACGTGGTTCTCATGCTACATACTAGCATAATTTTCTTTTTAGATGCATTATATTGCTTTCAATTATGGTTGCTTAGTCATACAAAACTTCAGCTTGCTTGGCCAAGTGGTAAGGCGTCGCACTTGTAATGCGAAGATCGCTCGTGTACGTACCTTTTCCCAATGCCGTGCGTTCGAATCTCCATCTAACACTCACTAGTCGATTCGGGTAGCAAGCAGCTCACTATAGCTCTTTTTGCTCTTCTTGTTGGCAGGCTCAAGGCAGAGGCGTAAGTGTAGATGTAATTGTTGCGCCAAGACCCATTGAATCAGAGATGATTTACATGAAGCTGGTGCCTTTCTCTATGGTTTGAGGAAGCTGCTACTTGTCAAGATTTCTTGCTGGTCCGTAGTTCAAGGATCACCGTTTCTGGAATTTTGGATTATAGCAGGCCATATACCATAGGTCGTTGTGACAAAGATGTCTAGAACTACGACTTTCGATCGATGACCTGGGTAGCGAAGTCTCAGTTTGACCTTCTCTTGCACTATCCTTTTACCCTGTTTCACAGCCCACCTACGTACAGATCGTCCTTCCCCCATTCCCACTCAAAGTCCACTTCGTCTTATTTGCCGCACATGGGCTCTCCCTCACCGTCGTCCCATCCACCCTCGCCGTAATCGCAATGTCCCTACTGTTCGCAAACTCCGTCCTCGCACTCAACCTCACCTCTCCGCCACCATTTACCGTGCCTCCCTTGATGTTGACATTGTAGCAGTTCTCGATCAAGATCGCGTTGTTGCCGTTATTCGCTAGGTCGATGCTGCCAATCTCCGCGCCACCAGATTGTGACACGCAGAAGATGCCGCGTCCGCCGCCTCGCGACTTGACGTTGCGCACGAAGATGTTAGTCGGGTAGTTGGAGCCAATTTTACCTGCCTCGTTGGCGAAGCGGAGAGTTGCGTATCCATTCCCTGTGGCGACGTTTTCGCCGTCGACGAGCCCGATATTGGCGTTTGTCACTTTTTGCAGCAACAAGCCACATTCGCCAACGTTGCGCGCAATGACGGTCCCAATTTCGAGCTTATCAATGTTCCACGTCTCGACGCAGTGCGAGGTCGTACGTTTGCAGTTGATGGTACCCATTTTCACGTTGCTGTTAGCGGCACGGTCGCGATCGAAGCGGATTGCCAGTCCAGCAGTCAAATCAAAGGTAAGACTGCCAAGGGTCAGGCCTGTGGTACCCGAGAAGCGGAGACCGAAATAGACGCTGCCGGTCATTGTGAGGTAAGGTATCTTCACATTCGCGGCGTCTGTGACTTCAATGGCGCCGCGGCCGCTTTTGATGGCCGCATTGATTGTACCACAGCCCTCGAAGGTCTTGCCGGCTTGAATGGTGATGGTGCCTGCGCCGATTGAGCCAGATGCAATGACTGACACACGTTGGCCATTGCCGATAGAGTCGACTGCGCGTTGGATCGCGGTAAGGTAGTCTCCCGTGTAGACTGTGCTGCTACCCTTCTTTGCTACAAAGGAACCACCAGAACCCTGATAACTCTGTTAGTGTCATCTTGTGGCAAAAAGTTAAGAATAAATCGTACTGTGACAGTGGCATCTGGTGTTCCGGAGCCGCATTGAGCGGCGACGGACGATACGAGCGCGAGCGCTGCAGCAATGTTGAGTAATTGAACCATGGTAAATCACTCCAGCTTGCAATGGCGATCCCTCGAAGAAGTCGCGTCACTGAAGACCGCCATCAACGGTTCTTATACCAAGCCATGCAAAGGTAAAGACCAGGGTGGCCATAAATTACTCCCCACCTCAAGCGCAGACCAAGACTTTCTAATGAAAATAAGGGCTGCCGCGGCATCCCACCAGTGTGCACATGTTCGGACAGCAGCACAAGGAGCACTCCTGAAGTAGGCACGATCTCTCGTTAGGCCTATAGATCCGCATAGTCGTGATTAAAACATATAGATCTAGGGACCAATTGCGACGGTCAAGGACGGTTAGTTCCATGATATTTTCCGTAGTTTTCCAGGATTAATGTACGATATATTACATCGTGACACCAGGGTTTCAGCCACATCCCTGTTCGGCTTCGGCTGATCGTCGCCTGCCAGACAAGTCTTAGCCTTCTCTTGAGTAAAGTCAGGCAATGCCCCATGGGAAATCGAAAACGAAATACCGCTTTGCTTGAGGACTAGGCATTAGGCTCGTGGTTTATCAATTTGTGCTGGCACCAAATGCAGGTATGCAAGTGGCATATCGCTACAATGCCAAACAATATTCGGACGCAGTATCCCGGATTCACACGGGCATGAATCTTCCTAGCGAGAATCGTTGGTAGGACCTCGGGGTAATGCAGGCCGTTGTGTGCTAGGGTAGTTGTTCCATCGAATGCGACGTTTGCTGCCAAGCAGCACCAAGGCGGGCTGAATCACTCATGACATTTGTGGGTGGAGCAAAACATGTCCGCGAATGGCGGAGTGCTAGACCTTGGCGTGATTTGAGATGCGGTGTGCAGGTTGGGGCCGACCACCATTGACAGGCGGAGGTTACAATGTTTAGGAGCGAAGAAATACGTGCGCAGATCGATACAGTATATGTTAACAATACCATGAAGAGTGCAAAGAAAATGGGGTATCATTCCGTATCCACGACTTCATAAAAATGACCAAATACCAAACTATGGTGCAAAGAACCATGCTAAACCGCAATAGGTGGAGATCCAGTAAACAAGTCTTCGTCGTCTGCGAAAAATGAAGCAGCCTCCTGTGTTGATATGCCAAAATCACCAAACGCAGCAGCAGGACTCTGATTGACATGAATGCCAGATGCAGCAATTGGTCGAGTCGCCACCGCACAAGAACGCTTCGCTGGCGGCGGATGGCCTCTTGAAGTCAATGGTGGGGTCTTGCGTTTCAAGCCTGGTCGATCAGAAACCGAAGAGGGTCTTTGTGAGGGTGTGAGAGTGGCGAGGTCTATGGTGAGACATGCGCGTGCGGATTGTTGCTGCTTTCGCGTCGTCTTTGATGGCAATGGCGGACGTATGCATGCATTGGCCTGTCTTGACGATTTGGAGGATTTGGTGGTTCGACTTGGACTTTGAGCAGGAGCTGGAGCGGCCGTTCTCAAGGCAGCTACTGAAGGTAGAGAGATGGCTCGGATGTTCTTGTCGGTCATCCTTACGTCGGTAAAGTCGGCATGAGCTGATACGGGACTTTCATCAAGATCGTCTATGGAGAAATCAAGGTCTTGGGTTGACAGTGGAGGAAGTGTCTGAGAGATCGAGGACCGAGAAGTAGGAACTGGGATCTCCAGGGTAGATTGTGCCACGTGTGTAGGTTTTGCCACGTATATCTCTGCTGACAATTCTCGGGCAATCTGCGTGCCGCTGTCGAGAAATTCGTCCCAGCCATCGTTTAGGTATGGCGTAGTCGAATTTGCTGTGTGGTTGAATGGGGGCCTTGGAACAGGTTTCTTGGAGGCTGGCATGCCAGGGAGTTTAAAAGTCGGATTTTTGTCTAGCTGTGATTTTGATGAGTGTATGGCAGAGGCTGGCTTCTTGGACACGCCCACAGAGCGTAGGTGGACAGGTACAGCAGGCAGCTTGAAACCAGAACTCGGCGCCTCACGTGGCTGACATGTCGTGATGTAGTCAGTAGCCAGGCGTATAGGAAATTGCATTCGCTGGAAGGGGCAGAGCATGTCATTGCGGTATTTTGCAGGGAATGGGACTCTCGTTAGAAGCGCTTTGGTGCCTTCAAGTTGTCCATCAAGGACTAGGCATTCGAGGCGGTCGTTGTCGGCGCGAAGGACCCGCAGGTGCTGGCTCTTTGAGAGCTGGCTGCTTGTGTTCAGATCTCGAAGTAGCGTTACGACAGCCCCAACCTTGAGGCGCAGACGATGAGGCGGTAGTCCGACGGGGTTCAGCTTGTGCAGCAGTCCAGGCGCCGGATCCCATTCAGAAGGCCTCAGCGAGATGTCTTGTGACAGGAGCTCTACCAAGGGAGCAGGTAGCTTGTCTAGTATGGTCTCGACAGTCTTGTTGATGGGGCCATGGAGACGCGCGTATTCGGCGTCGTCCTTGATAGGTGCAGGATTGGGCGGGTCGGACATGAGCAGGTCGTGCGCCTCGAGGAGTGTGTCGTCGTCGAGATCGTCATCGGCATACTGCTCTGGACTGATGGCGCTGGCCATGTTGGGGTGGGGCAGGTCGACATCGGTGTCATCGTCGTCGTCGTCTTCATCGTCCCACGGCTCCTTCTCGAGCTCGTGGGCAATCGTTTCAAGCGTAGCTGTGAGCTCAGCCTGACGTCGGCGCTGCTCTTCCTCCTTGCGCCTCTGCAGGCCCAGGAAAGCCTCCATGCCGTTCTTCAGCTGCGCCTGCGTGTGGCTGTAGCCGATGAGCTGTGTAGCCAGTCCCACACCCATCTGCCTGCGCGCCGCCTTCTCCTTCTCCTCTCTCTCCTCGCGCTTCTTCTTGGCGGCCTTGCGCCGCTCGTCAGCCTCTCGCAGGCGCGCGGCACGTTCGTCGAGTTCGTGACCGCGCTCAAGCTGCCTCATCTGCCGCTCGGCAAGTCGCGGCCCATTCTGCTTGTGCAGCTTCTTGACTTCGCTGGTAGTTTGCGCAATTCGAAGTGGCGGTGGCGGCATATTGGGCGGTGAAGACGCATTGTCGAGATGTGTGTGCATGTGGCGCAGCTTGGTGTTGTGCGAGAATTCGCGGGCAGCGCGCGTCATCACGTGCTACCCCACATGTCCCATCCACCCCATCCCACCTTCGCGACTACTAGGTCTACACATTCACTCTGCGCCTCGCGCCAGCTAACCGTGCTTACTACACTCCAATGGTGTACGTTATTCATCATCCATTAATGGTCCAAGCTCGTCACAGTCCGGCACCAATGCGGGGATACCACGGCTGCTTCTCTAAGGAAGATGAGACCCGAGGAATTCCCCATGTTTGGCTGCTTCGTACCGCATAGTTGAGACCGCCACATAGTCTTACTCTAAACTTGAGATATACCCTTTGTCTACACCTTCTCCTCCCCGAAAATGGCTTTCGCGCTGAAGGGCGTGGCATACATTACAGGTGCCGGCTCAGGTGCGTGTTCAGCAGGCTGCATCACTCTGCACGACTAATGAACAAAGGCATTGGCCAGTACACTGCATACTCCCTGGCTCGTCAAGGCGTACGATCATTCG